TCCCTCCCTCCCTGCTTTGTCTCCCTTGCGTCAGGCATCCGTCCCGTGTTCCCTGAGGCCATCCGTTGATTGCTGGGGACCCAGAATAGATGCAGACTCAGACCTTAACCCCCACGGACTTACTCTTATCAAGGAAACAAAGTGGATAGGAATAAAATTCAGGAATAAGATCTCCAGCGTCTCGGGAAAAGGACAAGGGGAAGCAGGGAGGGTCAATAGTTCCAAGTTCGTCTCATTCTTCTTTCAATCGATGCTGCCTCCCAGTCTGTTTCTAGCAAAACACAATTGCCCCACTGACTTCTTTCTCATCTCGTTCCAGACAGGATTTGGGGTGGTGAACAAAGGCCTGTGAAATTTGGCAAGGAGGCACTCTGAGCAGCAGGTTAAGTGGAGAATGAGGCCAAATATATTCCCACATGCGAAGAAAGGGGGTAGAGTACAATTTTTGTCCCTGAGTTTCCTGGTAGTCAACGGGAAGAAGAAAATCAGATCATTAACACAGCTTATGATGTGCACAAGATTGTAAAATTTTCTCCAAAGAAATGCAGCAATTTCTTATGTGAGAGTGAATGAGTGTGTGTGTATGTGTGTTGTTTTATGAAGAAAGTACTGTGTGTTATTACTATTACTACTGCCAATAATAATCCTCACAGCAACCTCAGGAAAGAAATTATTCCCAGTTGACAAATGAGGAAGCTATGCTTTAGAGAGTTAATGTGATCTGCTCAGAATCACACAGCCAGGAAGTCTGTCACTAAATCCTGGGATCAAACCTCTTCTAATTTAAATGTTGACTTTGGGGTCCCTGACCCCCTATCTCAACAAAAAGCAGAGCAATAAGAAGAATAAACTCAGGCTGGGCGTGGTGGCTTACTCCTGTAATCCCAGCACTTTGGGAGGCTGAGGCAAGAGGATCACCTAACCCGGAGGTCAAGGCTGTGGTGAGCCGTGATCCTGCCACCACACTTCATCCTGGGTAACAGAGTGAGACCCCAACACACACACACACACACACAGCATAAACCCATCACTAATGACAATCCTTCCATTCAGGGAAGAAAGCAAGGAAGGCTGAGATCGTTTAGAAAGGGCGGTCAACGACCAGGCTTGGTGGCTCAGCCTGTCATCCCAGCACTTTGGGAGGTCAAGGAGAGTGGATTGCCTGAGCCTACAGGTTCAAGACCCACCCGGGCAACTTGATGAGACTTTGTCTCTACAATAAATCAAAATTAGCCAGGCGTGGTAGTGCGCACCTGTAGTTCCAGCTTCTTGGAAATCTGAGGCAGGAAGATCACTGGAGCCCAGGAAACCGAGGCTGCGGTAGCCAGGAGCATGCCACTGCAACTCCAGTCTAGGTGGCAGTGAGACTCCAACTGAAAAAAAAAAAAGAAAGGACAGTCAGGGACAGCCTTCCTGAGGAGACAAGGCTGTGATTTGAATGACAAGAAAGAATGAAGTTTGCAGAGGTAAGGTAGGGATGTGGTGGAATATTATTCAGCCATGAAAGCAAAAGGAAGCACTAAGTCAGGTTCCAGCATGAATGCATCTTGAAAACATAATACCAGCCAGGTGCAATGACTCACACCTGTCATCCCAGCAGTTTGGCAGCCAGAGGCGCGAGGACTGACTGAGCTCAGGGTTTCAAGACCAGTCTGGGCAACTTGATAAAACCTCTTCTCTACAACAAATCAAGAAAAATTAACCAGGCGTGGTGGCACACACCTATAGTTCCAGCTACTTGGAAGGCTGAGGCGGAAGGATCACCTGAGCCCAGCAGGTCGAGGCTGCGGTGGCCATGAGCATGCCACTGTACTCCAACCTGGGCGACAGTGAGACTCTGACTCAAAATAAATAAATAAATACATAAATAAGAAAGCATAGCCAGGCGTGGTGGCTCAAGCCTGTCATCTCAGCACTTTGAGAGACTGAGGTGAGAGAATTGCCTGAGCCCACGGGTTTGAGACCAACCTGGGCAATTTGGCGAGACCTTGTCTCTACCAAAAAGAAAACATGAGGCTAGGCTTGGTGGCTCAGCCTGTAATCCCAGCACTTTGGGAGGCCGAGGTGAGTGCATTGCCTGAGCCCGTGGGTTCAAGACCCGCCTGGGCAATTTGGCGAGACCTCATCTCTACAATAAATCAAAACCTAGCCAAGCGTGGTAGCGCGCCTGTAGTTCCAGCTACCTGAAAGGCTGAGGCAGAAGGATTGCAGGAGACCAGCAGGTCGAGGCTGCGGTGGCCGGGAGCAGCCACTGCACTCCAGTCTGAGTAACAGAATGAGACTCTAACTCAAAAAAAAAAAACAAAAAACAAACAAACAAAAAGAAAACATGACAACAAATGCAATAAGCCAGACACAAAAATCCACAGGACACAGGCTTCCATCTCTATGAAGTATACAGAACTGACCAAGTTGAGAAGGAAGAAAACACAGATTGGGGGCTGCCAGGGACTGAGAGAGAGAGACGGGGTGCGGGGCTTCCTTTTGGGGATGCCGAGAACATTCTGGAGCCTGATGGTGCTGAGGGTCGTGCAACACAGAGAGTGCACTCAATGGTATTCGTGGTAAACATTCAGGGTAAGTGCATTTTACTCCAATTTCAAAAAGAAGAAAAAGACAAGCAGGGGAGAATTCAAGGCAGGAGGAGCCCCAAGTTTTAAAGGCCCTGGGGCTGGAACTGGCATGGGTGCTCTCAAAAGGGCCAGGAGGGGAAGCTGGGGACACGTGGGTGGGGGGGGTGGCAGGGACACAATAGGGCCTCCCTCCAAAGCCAAGTCTCGGGGCAGGGAACTTGCCTTGGGGCAGCGGCTCAGGGTGAGGGGGGTTCAGAGGTGAATGCATGGATCAATGTAGGCTTCAGATCCCCGACTTCCTTATGGAGGCCATGGTGGGGAGTGCGGGTCCTATGAACGGGAGGCCTCAAGCCTCCATAGAGAAAGCCAGGATCTGGCTTCTGGCACCCACGAGCTGGCTTGAGAGGGGCTGAGACTGGCCAGCCCGATTCTTTGGGGACCCAAGATCTTGGCCTTTACTTCTCCAGTGGGCCTCAACTTCCCAGTGCCTAGCTCTGCCCTCAGGAGAAAGATGGACTTCCCTCCTTTTTCTTTTCTTTCTTTTTTGAATTGGGGTCCCACTCTGTCGCCCAGGCTGGAGTGCTGTGGCATGCTTACGGCCACTGCAGACTCAACCTGCTGGGCTCAGATGATCCTTCCACCTCAGCCTTCCAAGTAGCTGGGACTACAGGCGTGCGCCACCACACCTAATTTTTTTTATTTATTGTAGAGATGAGGTCTCTCCAAGTTGCCAGGCTGGTCTCAAACTCCTGGGCTCAGGCAATCCTCTCACCTTGGCCTCCCAAAGTGCTGGGCTTATAGGTGTGAGCCACCGCACCTGGTCAATTTTTTAATTTTTATTTTAGTAGACATGGGGTCTTGCTATGTTGCCCAGGCTGGTCTTGAACTCTTGAGCTCAGGTGATTCTCCTGCCTCAGCCCTTTGAGTAGCTGGGACTACAGGCATGCACCACCACATCTGG